CTCTCCCTCCTCCCCCCCCCCCCAAAAAAAAAACAAAACCCCACCCCCATTCACCTAAATCAAAACATATGAGAGGATTCTGGGGAGATACATTGTTTCAATCCAGCCTTTTTGAAAAACCAAAAGGACTCATGTGCAATATATCCTACCAAGCAAAAAGACAAATATTCTCAAAATGGTACAGTAGAACCTGCTCCAAAGGCCATCTTTCCAGGAAAATCATCAGTACACACTTCCGCCCTTGAATTTTTGTATTATAATGACACTGTCCAAGAAAAACCACCTGTCTAAGACAACCACTTATCTCCTTGTGTGGCATTTTGGACAATTTTGACTGGACAGAATTTTTTTGATTTATAAATTATAAATAAAGCCTAAAAAAAAAAAACCCACCAGAAAAAACTCACAAATAAATGTTTTTTTTCACCCTTAACTCACTTGAATCTATTGTCTGTGGCAAGTGTTCCCAACACAGAGGCACATCCAAACGAGTGGCCAACCACAGCCACACGAGAAAAGTCGAGACGATTCTGAGGGAAAAGAAATCGGGTGAGGATGAAGCAATGTGTCTTCAAACTGTGCAAACTAAACAGGAGAAAGAAAGAAAGAAAGATAAAAAATAAATATCAAATCATTCTCTTTTTCCATAATAGGTCTTAATAGGGCATTTCAAAGACATACAAATCGAAACAAATTATGTTATTCTTAAAAAGGAAACAACATAACAACAAAAATCATAAAAACAAATAACAAATGGGTGAATTAGCGTCTTGCTCAAGGAAATACCCCAATTACAGCAATACAAAAAATCAATGTTCTCAGAACTTGTCACTCTGTTAGAACTTAAGCATTGATAATGGCAGATAGCACTGAATGCTTACCTGAAATAAAACATAAGAAATTTTTCTCGGCAAGCCATTAAAATGTTATAAGCCTAGAAAGCAAATTTCAGAGGAGAGAGGAAAGACTGTCTATTTCTTTTAGAAACTGAGGCTTTATATTATGTATCTTTTCTTGCTTTTCTCATTATTCAGAATCTGAATTTCGACAAAATATTTCTCCAGCACATGCAACCGATGCCACAAATTCTAAAACTGCATAAAAAATTTTTTTTTTAAACAATATAAAAATTTGGGGCTTAAAACAGCTTAACAACTGGACGACATAAATAATAGATATATGTTACCTTGAAATGTGTGGTTTTAAAAGCCAGCCCCAAGGCGTTGTTGATATGGTTCCCTTCGTTCATGCTGATGAGCTCATCAAGCAAGTCGCTGATCTCATCAGCCCGCCTGTACATCTGGATATGTGGAAAAAAACAACAACCGATATATATAGTAGATGCTACAGCAGTACAAAGCAGGGGGGGATGACTCCTCGCCTCTACTCAAGTACTCGAGAATTTGGCCCTTGCAAGTACTCACTAGTGTAGTTTTTAAATCCTCAAGTGGTCGCTCAAGTCCCACATCCCAAAGTATTATTCATATAACTTAACCTTGGAAAGTTCAGTCCTGGTTCACAAAGAATTATAGACCATCCGATCTGTTCTCGTATGACTTTGATTTTAGGTAAAAACAATATGAAAATCAAAAAATGTTTTTTTGAATTTTATCTCTGTGCAAGGTGAGTGGATTCAAACATTCCCTGGGCTAACATTATCAGGATGGTATAAAATTAACACATCCATCAGTCATTTACAAACTCACCTGTCCATTACGATAATCAAAATCGTCCCAGACTTCTACATGCTCAAAGGGACGCCACTCTTCACTACAGCTGTGATTATGCCTCAGAGATCTCTTCCTGTTATTTCTTCTCTGTTGAACCCTCGAGCCTCTCCCGCCCTCGCTGTCCCGATTCTCTTTGCCTTCGTTGAGATAGAACTGAACCCCCGAAGTAGGTCTCTCCCCTGACAGGGAGACCACATCACAGCCATCCGCTTTGTCATCGTTGTTGTTGTTAATGGTGGTCGTGTTATTGTTCCCACTGTCTGACCGTTGCATGCTGTGAGGACTCCGCCTATATCGCTTGTGACGTCCTCGTCGGTTTGGGCCCGGACTGTCGTCTGAGACAACGCTGTCGTCATCATCGTCATCGTCGTTGCAATCCTTGATACTGATGCTGAGCTGCTCCTGTAGGCACAGGGTCATGGAGGCTGAACCGTCCCTGTGGAAATAACGGAATTTTTAAAAATTAACAAATAAATAAGAAGTTTTTAAAAAATAGTTCTCATAATCAGATAAAGAATAAATGATATTTTTTAAAATCTTAAGTACCGGTACGAAAAAGAACCATATCAGATGCTATTTACAGATTCAGATAAACAAGAAATAGAACACACAAAAAATAATTTTCAAAATAACAGCAAAAACAAAAAGTCAAAGTCAAGTGCAGGAACGTGCATGAAATTTTAAAAAATCGATTTCTCAGAAACAAGTACAAGGGTAATAACTCCTTGAATGAATAATAACCCCTGTCAAGAACAACTCCTGCAACTGAAGACAAGGAAAATAACTCTTGACAAAGTTTTTGGCTTGTGAAATAATCCAATTGTTTTGATTGCTGCACATCGACCGACACAAACGCGGCCGTTTGGAGATTTTTTTTTTTATTTGTTTGGGGGGGGGGGAAGCAAGTTGAAGATAGACATACAGAAACCACAGAGAGAAAGAAAAGAAGGACCTTCCAGTAATGAGGCTCTCCAAACACAAGTATAATAAACCAAAATAACGCTTGAAATTTCGTTTTGGGAAACGCAATGGCAGAAAAATGTCAGCTCAGACAATAAACAGCAGAATCTGAGAACCCTGTGCGATCATAATCGTTTGACGTTCGTAACTTTTCGTCTTTAAAAAATATTTTCGGAACTATTTTATGGTCCCGTCACAACCCAGATTAGATTCCTTCAAATCAAATCACTGGTCCTTTCGAAAGGAGCAAGTCTTGTCGTAAATGACTAACTCTCTCCCCATTCTCTTTCTCGCCCTGTCTCTTTTTCACCTCTCCCTCTCTCTCTCTCTCT